TTGACAGATTCTGGGAATAGATACGTAAACTTTGAAGTCATCTTCTGATTATGTGATTTCATCAAACAAAACAACAAAGTTATTTTTTATATTTGATATAAAATTAAGTTCTATTTATAGCATTTTTCATCAGAAATGAGATACTCAAGCATAGACAGAAGTATAAAAACAGTCTGACTGAACATCCTAAAAGTCTAGCGAGGAAGTTGTTTGGTCAAATACATAAAAATATTCTAGAAGTAAATTAAATATCCACAAATCAGAAAATACATGAGAACAATATACAAAGAAAAGATGAAAATTTTCAGTTAAAACTGAGAACTAATAAAACCAGAGAAAACAATTTATGAAGTGCTATGAAACTATTCAATATGCTCTCAAAAAGGGAAAGATAACTGCACTAAATGTATATATGTATATAAGCAGGGCAGGTCCTTAGCGCCCGCATGCAACTTTTTTTCTAGCGCCCCCCCTATTAATTTTCACCGTTTTAACAGTTTATCATTAAAATTATATAAATATTTACATATTTTTTAAAAATTAATTTTTAATTATTCTGGATTTAGTACACAAAATATTAGATATAATCTAGAAGGGTAAAAATTATATTGATTTTTAATTTATTTATTATTATCGATATCAATAAATCCCTGTCATAATTTCATATTTTAGTAATATTCAATACGTAGTAAATTGGTTGAGGATGTAAGTTCGACTACCATAGCAAAAGAATTAATATTTTTGTTAGATTAAAGTTATAGAATTTAAGAAATGCATTTCAGAAATAGTATTTATAATTTTGATATAAAGATCTTGATATCAAAATAATAAATACTATTTCTGAAATGCATTTCTTAAATTCTATAACTTTAATTTAACAAAAATATTAAGTGAAATAAATAAATTAATTTTTAATTATTCTGGATTTAGTGCACCAAAAATTAGATATATATAAGAGCGTATAAAATGTATTGATTTTAAATTTATTTAAAAAATCCAGGCGATTCGGGGGTTGATTATAATCAAGTATTTTGAAATTTTCAATTATTTTTAACGTATGTGCAATATTAATATTTAAAAAAACTAGCATTTAATTTTCAAACATAACACTCGTATTTCATGTTGGATTTTTTAAATTTTAATTTAATTTAATTTTTCATCATTTATAATATCCAAAATTGCATCGTAAACTTCTCCTTATTGATATCGTAAGAGACGTCATATTCAGAATATCAGCTTGTTGTTTTAAAGTTAAATTTTTAACGTATTTTAGAAGTATTGTTAAAAAATCAGTGAAAAATGCAAAGAAATTACACATTTCTTGAACAATATTGAAAAAAGAAACTTATTATAATTGATATGTATTATTTCTGTATAGTTAATAATTATTAAATTTAGAATATGGACATCACTAGGTATATAACAAGCCTTAAGATTTTCATTCCAAATTAAATTTTGCTTCCATTTTTCATATTTATTCCACGCATGTCTTCAACATTCAAAGTTCAACAGATGCGAAACATTTGCAACAAAAGCAAAAGTTACAATTCAATTTCTCTGAATAAACAAGTCATTTTCTAAGCACTGACATTTTTTATAATTTGTTTATATTTTTTAACAAGTTCCGATTCAACTAAATGAGCTCGCAATTTTTCGTCAATAATGCTCAACAATTAATTTAATCTTTCGCAGGTTTGCGCTTATGGGATTGAACACTAGATAATTTCTTCTGATTCCAAGGTAACTTCAAACAAAAAAAAAATGAATAAGTAGATTAAGCAATAAACAGAGCTGTTATTTACTAATTTGCGGAGTTATTAATTGATTAATTGTTTCTACTGATATCACATTGCAAAATAAATATGCGTTTTGTGTCTCCGTATCCCCGGTTAAGTTAGATTGTTTATTATAATTTATTAAGTATTCTAGATTTTATATAAATAATTCCAGATTTCATATAAAAAATATAAATATTTTATTATAAATTTAATTTTCGAGACTCGTTTTGGCGCCCCCTAAGGCGTGCACCCGCATTTTTGCATGCATCGCATGCAAGGCAGGACCGGCCCTGTGTATATCTTTATATAAATCAATTTTATTACTCTTATAGTTTCTCTCTTTAGTTTGATAAGTGTTGTTGTTTTGTTATTTCCTAGTTTTTTTCTCATATTTATAGGTTCTTTATAAAATTATAATTTCCATAGTTACATAGTTTATATAATTTTTTCAAAAATGTTTTACCTTATAGATCCACTGATGATTACATCAAATTGTATGCCGAAAGGTTTGGAATGAAGATTATTTTATAAATCTTTGCCTTTTCTTTGTTTGATGTATCGCCCTCAAGAACTTATATATATATATATATATATATATATATATATATATATATATATGTTCAATTTGAATTAAAAAGTCGGGCGTTTTATCAATAAAAATATTTTTATTTTATGTTTTTTATTGACAATAAATACATTTTTATTGATGTAACGCCCGACGTTTTAACTCAAATTAAACATATGTATCAACATCAAATTCAAGACTATTAAATATATATATATATATATATATATATACCTATATATATACCTATATAATATACTCTAATTAGAGTGGTTTACGATTGCTACAAATCAATTTACTTTATAATGATGTTAACAAAACAATTATGTTAATTGAATAGGTACAAACATTTGATTAAATTATCAATTTTGTTACACGTATAAAGTTATTCTTTTAATTATAAAGTTAATGTGGTCTTGTAGTTACAAAAACCCCTGATGAGATGCGATCCAACAAACTGCGCGTTGAATAACAAAAGCAATTTACGTTTGTATGCAAATTCCATAAAAACTGAGTATTTAGATTTTATGGGGAGTGTATGTAAATTAGCGAATCACATTTTTGTATAGAAGCAAAATATATAATTTCGCAGAAACGTCGTTTGTTATTTAAAAAGACACCAACAAGAATAATGAACTTGATTATTATCGTATAAATGAGGGGTCATTGAAATATTTCCTTTGAGTTATTAACTTTTATGGTCATATGGTCTGCAGGTACAAGAGGACCATATATACACGTGTTTTATATGGAACCTTTTGTAACTCATATTTATAATTCGAATTTACAATTGTTGTTACACATCAGTTCTAAATATTATTTTCGCCATTTTAACTAATTGACGAAATTTCAAAAAATAAAATTAAATAGATAGAAATAAAAAATCCTAAACTATTGACATGGAGTGCGAATATCTTTAAGTGCGAATTTAAGGAGAAAGAACGAATAAAGCTATTTGCAAATTATATAATATTCACAATTTAATATAAAAAATTAAAATGTTTAATAAAATATAAAATTGAGAAATCGAAAAATAAAACATATATTTCGAAAGAATATGTAGGGTACAGCGGGGCTTAAAGGTTCGCGAGTAAAAAGATTCAACACCGACATCTCAAAAACAAGTAAAGTTAATAATTTTTTTAACAACAATATTTGAAAGTAAAGGGAAAAATGTATAACCAGCCATCACCTTGATTCTTACAACATTGCTATCGAGAGAAAAACAACAATGTTTGAAAATCCATAACAAAAATATTTTGTTTCGTTTTAGTTGTGAGCACGTTTGTTTAATTTACGAGATCTCAATATAATTTTTAGGTAAACGTGATTTAATTGTTTTATAATATGTTTCGTTAATTTTAAGTTACATTCAATAGTTCTTTTATATAACCTCCATAAAAGCTTACGTTGGGTGGGATAAAAATGACCAGCTGAACCTTTACTCTGGCAAAAGTGTAAACAATAAAAAATAGTAAATAATAATAATAATAATAGTAAATAATAAAAAATAAATAAATAAAATTAATAGTTATTCCAACTCTGCTGATCAATATTTCTGACAAAATGCCAGATTAATTGTATACAGTTTTAGCTCTGTGAAAAATGCTCCCATAAAATTTATATTTCACATTGGTTGAATAGGTATGATATCGTAAAATCCCTTCAGATTTAAAATTAAGATATTGGACTTGTTTGCCCCCAGGCCGTCCCGTTTAACCCCGCCCTACCCTATATTAAAAGTCAGGGAATTACTAAAAAAATAATTAATCAAACTAGTTAAAAACTGATTTTTTAAAAATTCTAATTCTGCATTACAAACGAATAAAAAAATAACAAAGAAATTCCAAAAAGACAGGTTCAACCACTTGGGAATAGTAGATTGAAATGTACTAAAAAGAAACATTTGTAGATCATAAATGCAAACTGCAAATTGTGAGATTTCTAATTGAACATTACATATTTCTAGATTAACTCTGAGCAAACATTTCAACCATTTAAAGGGAAGCATTTAAATACCACGTTTGTATTTAACTTAATTTTAAAGGTACGTGCCAAAAATTCAGAAAATCTACTTGTATACAAAATTAAAAAGAAAGCAAAAATATACAATCGATAATTACATGATATTATATAAACAAAGTTAAAAATTTGATTTAACAAGTGAAAACAAAAATTTCAGTAGTTTTGATAGAGCTTGAGAGGCGTCCATTAATCACGTGAGCCTTAAAGGGACAAAAAATCACGAAATATTACCTTGAAGAGGGGCGGCCTAGTAAAATATCACGTATTTATTTTTTATCTTGATTTTAAAAAAATCTAAAATTTTACAAATAAATTAAAAAATGTACGATTTTTTCTAGGAATTAGAAATACACGTAATGTTGTTCGGGGAAGAAGAAGGGGTAATGTTAAATATTACCACATACCACCAAGGGGGAGGAAGGGGTCTAAAAATGCTTAGAAATCGCTCACATGATTAATGGACGCCCCCTTGGTATGAAGTTCTAAATACACAAATGTTTCTAATTTAGTTTTTTTATCGAATTTATTAAAATAATACTTATTCATAAAACAGCTCCAATTTACTTAAGACACCAAGTTATACACAACTAATTATATGAATTGAATTGAAGTATGAGATGTTATTAATATACCTGTGCAGAATGCCCTTGCCTTGCAGATAATCCAGAGCGCATCCCATTTCGCATAATGTCAGAGTTACGGATTCTTCTGTAAACACCACCTGCAATTACGCCAAGAAAAGTTTTTATATAAACACTGTAAAAACTCAAAACTTATAATGTCTTTCGACGGCATATTAAAAAGGCAAATAATAATACCAATTTTGTCGAGCATTATATATTATATATGATCATTCGATTATCTTACCGATTTAATTATATATATATATATATATAAAATTTTATTTTTGGTACAGAAAATTCCAGCAATTTGTTTTAAAGCTCGATGCCATACACCAGTTTCGCTTATTCGCTTTGAACACACAATATGTGACCCATTTTTGGGCGTTGCTCAAAAACTAAGGTAATTAGGGGCTGACACTATAGTTTTACACTTCAAAAATTTCACTAAACTTACACTATTTAAACAGAATCCAACGGACTCTTATTTTTTGCTTGTATTACACGTTTGATGACGTATAAAGGCTGCATATTATGAAGAATATGAATTTTTCAACTTTTCAAACGGCAATATATCAGTAACGGTGATTCTAAAGAAAAAAAAACAAATTTAATGGAGAATTTTATAACAAATAAACCTATCTAACATACTTTTTTGAAATTTTTTACGGTTTCGGCGGAGAATTTTGCACTTTTGACCTTGAATAAAAAAAAATCGCAGACGTCGGATTGATGGGGACTTTTGACATTTCATTTGTAATGGCATATTTAACATCTGTACCAAATTTCAGCTCTATGCGAATTATTCCTAACTAACGGCTTTTTTAGCTTTAATTTGACTGGGGTATTTGTCAATTTTGCGAAGATCTGCCAAGCCATTTCTTTGATATTTGGAAAAAAGTGTTAAACGTTTCGTCAACATTTAAGCTCATACTACCGAATCGATTTTGAAAAATCAAAAACTGTTCGAAAGAAATTAGTTAGAACTGATACTGATTAGTTTTAGGTGAAAATCTACCGAGCCGTTTTCTTGTAATTAACTGTTGAAAAAAAAATTTGAACCGATTTTTATGGAACTTTTTTTGACGATATATATCATGGTCTTTTAAATTTTAAATAATCATCTAAAATGAGTAGTTATTTTGAAGTTTGTTAAAATCAAAATTAAACGATTTACTTGGTATAACAAACAATTGAGTGCTTGGTCTTAATGAACATACTAAACCATTGAAGTCCTACGGAAACTGGTTCAAATATAAAAATTGTTGATTTTTGAAAATTTGCTTTTAGAAAATACTCCGAGTTAACGTGATCGTTCGTGTTCAATGATGTGTAATAAATCCACTCCTAATACTTTTAATCACTCATAAACTAATTCATTTTTTATTGATTAAGTCGATTATTTACATATATCGGGAAGTTCATGTAAATCTGGCAAAATACTAATACCGACTAGTTTAAATGTTAATGTTGTGTTTATTGTTATTCACGACAATAAAAGTCGTTATAAACCGTTTTCGTGTTTAAAAACAAAATGTATATTTTTTACCCGTCCTTGGGATGTAGACGGTTGTAACACTCGTCCTTTCCTTGTATAATTTCAATTTATGAATCGTATTTGAAGCTAAAGTATTTTAGTAATTCCACAATTGCTCAAATTACCATTTAATTTACTTTTCTCGCAACTAGCTAATAAATTAAAGAAAATATGACTAATAAAAAAAAGCCCAACCGTACCGAGTCATCTCTAAATTGACAAAACCATGTGTAAGTTTAAGGTAGAGTAAAACGAATATACGCATTAAGGCCTTTTCATTTTTTTTCATCTAAATACAATCGATCTCCTTCATCAAAATACATATTAATCAACCGAGAATATTTTTCAATTCAAGTTTATGGAAAAATAAATCAAGTATACTGAACGAGTAGGAATTATTTCCAACATTTACAAATATTTTAGGTTTGTAACAGATATGGTTTTTTTTTCAAATTGTTTTCATAAAAGTATAATCTATATTGATAGGTTTTATCTCATTGCCACTAAAAAAATTATTTGCGCCTTTATTAAACGATATTAAATTTTTATTAGCTGCTCATGTTTATCGAACGATATGTTGGCTTTTTTACATACGCAATCAAATCAAATATGGGGTAACTAAAGGTTTGTTGTAACAGTTTGCTTTTTAAGTAAAATATCTTAAGATTCACTCATTGTATTTGTAGGAAATAAAAATGGTTAGATGTTATAACTATTTCTCTACAGAATCAAGTAAAAATAATTCTATAACTGTTCATTATTTCATAACACACATACGTCCATTTTTTCTAAGTTATGCCAAAATGTTCAAAAACTTTCGATACGTAAAGATATGCAAAAATTTTCTTCTTCGATTTTTTTGCAATTACTATAACTTACCGTGCGAGAAGTTAAAAATTGCTAGTAAAAGTTTTGTTTTCATACACTAAATAAACATATAATACTTCTATTAATATAAAATTGTAAATAAGTTTCACACAAATCTTATATCAATTAGATTTCATACAAATCAATCCCGAAATCAAGGATTTTGAAAGCAACTTAATTAACAAAGAATTATTATTGAACTTCTATTATAAATCTTTCAATTCAAGCTAGCTATCATGTAATCGAACAGAAGAAATAGCAGGGCTTTAACTTATTTATGAAACTGCAACCAGTACTCTCCTTCCATGATTTTGCACACTCAAATACTTTTCTATTAAACAAGATGTAATTGAAAAGCTCTATTTACAACAAAGACGCCGCAAAAACTTTCTATTTATTGTACAAAGCAAAGTTAAATATAATTATATTGACAAAGGCAAATACTCTACTCAATTGAAAAGCTTAAAGAGCTCAAATACTAATAAAGTTCGAAGATATTGAGAACATTAAAATGATAGAAAAGCTTACTGTAAGATATATTTTAAACTTTAAAGACATAGATATTAAAATATTCGTATCAATTTTACAGTATTCAAACTTCAGAAAGCTTTATTATGAAGGTTATATATCATAATGGTATGAAGTGCAAATTTATAGTTAAATCACAATTACCTCTATATAAATATTAAAAAAAAACACCATATGTTTTGTACTATATAAATATTTTTATAAATAGTAGCGCGGGGCTTAAAGGTACGCGGGTAAAAAGGTCCACCGCCGATATCTTAAAAATAAGTATAGTTAAGAAATCCTCAACAAAAGTATTTTTTATTAACGAAAGTTTTTTCTTGTCTCTCTAGCACTATTGTTTAGTTTACGATACTTTAATATAATATTTAAGTATACGTTATTTTATTGTTTTGTAAGATGTATTGTTGATTTTAAGTTAGATTCTACAGTTTTTTTTATATAAACTCTATAAAACATTACACGGGGGTGAGGTAAAAAGAGCCAACTGAATTTTTGCTCTGGCAAAAATGTGAACAATAAAAATCAGTGAATAGAAAAGTAAATCAAGTTTAAAGAAACTATTGTACAAGAAATAAATCAAATAAATGGTTATTCCAACTCTGCTGATAAATATTTCTGACAAAATTATTGTTATATACAGTATTATCTCTATAAAAATGTACCAAAAAAAAATATATTTTTTATTGGTTTACTAATGTAGCTATTATTTCGTGAAATTAATTTAAAATTAAAAATAAAACATTAGATCTGTTTGCCTTCTGGCCGTTTCTTTTTACACCGTCTATGAGGTGAAAAGAATCGGGTGACAAATTAAAAAAAAACAGCAAAGAAAAACAATTTTACAATGATGAATTAGCTGGAAGTTTTACAGAAAATCGTCAAATAATTGCTTGTTTGATATTTATTATTTGTTGTAATACAATTGGTTTGGTTTTCACAATGTAAGTGTTAAAAGTCAAATTAGACCTTTATTGTCCCTACCCTAAACAATTTGTCTCTACAAGTGTTTTATGTCGATTTTCCTCAATAAGCGATTTTTTTTTCAATTGTAATTTACAGTATTTTTGTTTTTACGTACGAATGTAATCAGATAAGAATTATGTTTAAAGACTGATTCAACATAAACTAGAACATTGAATCACAACTAAGCCTGATATATTCTTATCTTATTGTGATGATCATCTTCATCACCTTATTGTGATGATCAACTTCTGACTATTCACTTTTAAAACATCTTTCTAGATAGAAAAGATGTTTCGCATGTATCTATGAATGGTTCACATTATTGTTGAAGTTGGAAGCTTTATTATTAAAGTTTACTTTTAATATAGTTGCAAAGTTCAATAATATTCAATACTATAAATATGATAGTTCCTATCTACTTAGTGCATTATCTCTTATCATTATCTGGTCAAACAACGTTTTTATAAAATTATGCTTTGTTAAAGAGGCTGCATTCACCAATTTGTTGCTAATATTAATTAGTTATATAGATTCTACTGAATCTATACAGCGTTCAAATAAAAAAGAGTTTAATTTGATATTGGCGTATGAGTAAATAGCTCTTGCAATGATTTTTACTGTTGAATATATTGAATAAATTTCTGCTAAATAATGAAAAGCCGAAAAACCAATATTTACTTATATTTTATATTCATAACAGATATGGTTTGTTTTCAATAATACTATACAAACTCTAATCAACATAATGGTTTGTATTTTATAGCCATCGAAAAATGTTTTTCAAAATAGACGAAAGTTGATACAGACATGATTTCAACTTGTTTTTAGATAATTATATTATGTATAATTTTATAAATAACTAAGTGTATAATGCATTACAAATATTGGCTATGAACCCGATCATAATTATCAATTTAATGATTTTTGAATTAACACACATCGATATATATATATATATATATATATATATATATATATATACATGTATATATATAGTTCTGGTTTTATTTTTTTGACTTGTGGCTGAAAAACTTTATCATATATAATATATATATATATATATATATATATATATACTCGTATATATATATATTCCTAAATTATTAAAACCATTTCAAGTTTGATTTTCTCACCATATGCGTTTATATCTAACTCATAGTTCAACGTTTTAGTAATTTCGATCAGTTTTCAATCAAAGAAAAC